AAAAATAAAAATGTTTTTTGATCAATATCTCGATTTTCATTTATTATGATATGTCGGAAAAATAGTTAATCTAACCCCCCAAAAAAGATGAAAGTCAAATATGCGGAATTTACCGTGTTTTTAGGTGGGAAAAACAGGGAATCTCCCGAGAAGGACATTTCAAACTAAAACAAAGTTTTTGTTTTTTGTTGTTGTTGTAATTTATATAATTTTTTTGAGGAAAAAAATGAAATTGGTTTAGTGTGTCCTTAATACCTAAAAAACTACTTTTTTAATAAAAAAATGGAACATCACTAAATTGTACCTATATAGAAGCTTAATAACACATTTGAATTCAAGAGTCGCTGTGGCTCCATCGGTAGCGCATAGAACTGTATAAAGATAAAAAAAAAAAGCGCATAGAACTGTAATTGATAGACTGCTTGTAAGAAGGGGTTCAAATCTCCTGAGATGTTTGCATTTTTTGTGGTTAAAATATTATATTGTAATGTTTCTCTCATATTTTTTCGGATGTTTGTTTAATTCATAGAGTCATTATGGATCATTTTGACTATATATCATTTCATTAAAGAAAAAAAAATAATGTGTTGCTTATTGTGTGCGTTCCTATTACTATCCATACTCCTGATTTACTTCCTATTCCTGTGTTTACATTTATTATATATATATACAAGGAACAATTGCCGTCAAACTGAAGTAGGTGCTTGTACATAACCAATAACACGAGAATTGATTATATAGCAATGAAGCCCAAATGTTGTGTGTGTAATATACACATAACGAAAAAAGGCCATAGCAGAAAAATTTCAAAACAACAAAAACAATTTTTCGAAACCTTGAACAAGAACGTTGTTGAAAGTGGTATGATATGTAACAAATGCAGACAGCAATTTTAATTATCGCCAATCCACCAACTGTGAAGATACTAGTACTGACATTGTTACCACCGTCCCTTTACCGGTACCTTAGTCATCAGAAAATAAAACAACACCACAGAACAAATCAATTACACTACCAATCGTGACTGTAGGTAAAACATCAAGAAAGTGTAGCATCTGTATCACAACAAAGGGTCCATTTGTTACGATGCCAGAAAAAGCCAGATTACATATGTTTGTAACACAAAGTGTTCTAGTACCAACTGGTGTAAAATGTTTTCCGGTTCATATAGACGGTAAAACCTTAAAAATCGGGACAGATATAGATACATCCAGATTGAGGAAAACAACATCCCAGTTAAATGCGTCCGATATTATTTGGCTTCTTGACAGGTTACGTGGTATGTTATCTCATGCAAGGAAAAAGAGACTAGACTTGTTTATTGTTAACGGTTGGTTTTGTGAGTGAAAGGCGGGAGCCCGAACTATGGGATGCTGTGCCCATGTAGCTACGATATTGTAGTACATGGGATATGCCAGACATACAGAATATAAAACCAAAACAAACAGATATTCCGTTGCATTTAAAGATGCCAGTATAGACATTGAAACAGAGACCGATCTAAAATCAGATTAGCTGGTTTATATCAGATAATTAGATTTGTGTTTTGTATTTATGTTTAACCCCCGTTTTTATTATTTTGTTAGTTTTAAGTTAAACAAAGCTATCAAATAAATGTACGCTACAAATCACCTACCAACATTAACACGCTAACTGAAGAAACATGTTTTTTAATACAAAACTTATTTTGAATATCTATTAGTTGATAATTCATATTTTAATGCACCTCAGAGGCGTTCAAAAAATCAATAGTCTTGGCCTTGAATATTGTAGGAATACCTGTCCAAGGTATGAAAATAGATGATATGACGTATTTTCATGTACTATAATAAGCATCTATCGGGCTATTTAAAAACATGATTTACTTACCTAATCAAATGAAGAAAAAAAATCAGGGGAAAATGGCCCTACCTCTTTCAGTATTCCGTTCTAATACATAATTGGTTTGAAAAATCTTTTTTGAAAAATGTACCATTATTTGTTATAATTATGCAACGAAGCTTTAAACGTAATACAATTATCTCGTCATTTGAAGTAGTAATAATGATAACACGGGGATTATTATTTAAACTACTATTTGTATTCATAATCAACGAATGAATGCTTCTAAGTGACAACTGACGTGTGATATAATGCTCTTGGGGGCAAGAGCTGTTGACTTAAATAACATATTCATTTCATCGAGAATGTTTCGAATTGATTAACCATGAAAAAATCAAGTATGCTGTAAATTGGCTCATATTCTAGAAATCAATTTTCATGAGGACTTTTGATATGAATACCCATCGATTTGAACACTTAAGAAAACACAGGTTTTAGTTTAATACTTTTGTTTGAATAGATGCTGAAGAATAAAGAAAAAAAAACTAACAAAAACAAAAACCAAAAGGAATAATCAAACTCATAAGTCGAAACAAAAATGACAATGCCATGCAAAAAACAAAAAACCACGAAAAACAAGCAACAGAACACAAAACACAACATAGAAAACTAAAAACTTAGCAACACGAACCCCAATAAAAATAAGGTCTGATCTCAGGTGTTTCGGAAGGGCAAGCAGATCCTGCTTCACACATGGCACACGTCGTGTTGCTCATGTAAGTACAAAACCGGTGATAAGTCTTATTCTAGTTCCGTGAAACAGATATTCCATAACGGTAAACCAACTTGTGATGGCGTCCGTAAACTTTTCGAAGGGGTGATTTGAACTTCATCATTTGGAATTCTTAGATCAATAACTTCAGGTTAAACAGCAACCTTCTATCAAGGAAATCGTGATAGGAAATGCAAGAAGTGGAATATCGTATCAAGTCGGAGATATATACTCCATATGTAGGCGCTGCTTGAATGTTGCTACATAGAAATGGAAAGTTCACAGTTGAGAAACCGCTTATTCTTGAAATAAGGATTTTTCTCTAACTACGAAATTGACCCAAAAGAAATTTGATCCACATAACATTGTCATGAATATTTAGAATATATATAAAGGGTTGATACAAAAAAGAAAAATATAAATATAAAATACAGAGTTCAATGTAGCTAAAAAGCATAATTTTTTAATTTAAAACATTCTTAACTCTCCCACTTTACTAATAAAAACGATTAATTTTCGTTTTGTCAACATGATATCTTGGGCATTCGCTTGGGAAAGTATCACACAATATAAGATCTGCTTTAGAAAGCAAAACATACATGTAAGTAATCTGCAATACGATGTTCTCCTAATCTTGAATATAAATCTGTATACCACCATTACTTATGTTATGATATAATATCTTTTTTTTAAAACGGATTTATGTAAATGAGAGCAACACAAACCCCCATCCCCGTTTTTTGGTGGGGTTCGTGTTGATCAGTATTCAGTTTTCTAGTATGTAGTTTGGAATTGTCAGTTTGTTTTAGACTTATGAGTTTGAATATCCCTTTGTTATTTTTCGCCTCTCTTTTGGCTTCACCTAATTCTTTTGACTTGTAACTTACTTTGTCCATGATGTTATAAAAACTGTAATACTCCATACATAATTCATTACATAAAGTTTATCTATTTACAATTGTGAATCACGAATTAAATTCATCTCGGCAAACCTTACAATCAACATGTTTGATAAAAGTAAGCACAAGAGCAGTATTGTGGAAATATGATTCCACGTGCAGAAATTTAATAAAAAAAGTGTTTTCAAAATCTGTTAACTTTTTTTCAGAATAAATACTCGGTATCAATTCCCTTATTTATAGTTTGTATCAATACATAACTGTTTCTATTGGTTTTACATATAGTTTGTTTTGAACATTGCACAATATAATGTCTCCCTGTTCTGTTTATGACGTTGGTGTATGAGAGCAACAGTTATAGGGAGGCATGATTTCTTCTTAACATATAAATAAAGGCAACAGTAGTATACCGCTGTTCGAAAACTCATAAATCGATAGAGATAAAAGCAAATCCGGGTTACAAACTAAAACTGAGGGAAACGCATCAAATATAAGAGGAGAACAATGACACAACAAAAACACAACATTAAAATGTAACACACACAGAAACGAACTATAAGATACTTCGAGTTTCCCTTCAGTTACTGTGAACATACTTTACTACGGTATACTTTGTATCTTATGTTGTGTTTTTGTTATCTAAATTACAATTATTTAACAGTTAAATGCTTTTTTTCCAGAAGTGGGTTTTCTTGTGTATTGTTTTATGCACGTTTTATCAATTATTTGATTGATATGAAACAATTGAGATCTTAAATGCTAGCAGTTATAATCCAAATATGATTTCGTATATCAAGTTTAGCTGACTGTTTTTTTTATCTCAGATATTAAGGTATTTGCATATTCAATGAACATCGCATCACCCCAAATTTAAAATAAATAGACCAAAACTCCAAGGAAAAGAAACGAAATCGTAAAATCCAAAACAAAAATAGACAAGATACAAAAAATCATAATGAACATGTACATGCGTCACACGTTCCAATGATTCTTCCTCAACGTTCATTAGTAAGTCAGTACCATGGCAAAATAGAAATAGATTTAGATGCCATATGGACGTGCGACCTATGACACAATAGTTTGGAAATGGAGATTTAAGATCTAAAGAAACAGCTTAAACCCGCCACAATTTCATGACAGAATCGTCGTCATTAGTTGTTAAATACAATTTTTTACGCTTATCGTTATAATGATATTTGGATGTTAAAGGCAGATGTTTTCATTGTTTCTGTTACAATTATTCCCAACATTTATAGAAAATTGTATATTAAGAGATTATCATATGATATTGATGTTGTATTTTGCTCTCTGATATGTATTATCGTTATTCTTGTCACTGGATTTTCTATCACATTAACACCGTTTCATCTTTTATCCATACCACATATTTGAAAGGTTGCAGTCGACTTTGGTGAACAATGCATGGTCAGTGATAAACAAGCGTAACTATTGCTTTTTTTTTATTAGGTTTGAAGAAGATTTCTACAATGAATAAACGTTTTTTATTTTTAACCAGTTGTTTTTGATAAAAGTGTTGAAGATGGAGGTTTAATACCGCTATTACACTGATCCCCTGTACAACAGAAATGACATTCAAATGCATTAGCATTGGTAACTACTCCATATCTCATACAATAGTCTTGATCAGCTGATTCCTTTAACCATTTTGTGTCACATGTTTGTTTCGTCACACATCTAGAATTATAGAGAAAATATGTGCTGAAACATTTAATCTTTCATGTTATAAGACACACATAATCAGCATTGATCACACCCTAAGAATAAATATCACGAATTTTGCCTGTTTTCCGTTGTATTCTGGCAATGTGAACAAAAAAAGGTATATTAAAACAAAAACCCTTTATACAAATCGAATGTTTTTAAAGTTGTAGATATGTACAAGTCAGTTGACTGGCTTACTGTTTTTCTTAAATATTCGAAATTTGAATTGATATTTTTGTTAAAGTCAAATCATTTTCACTGTTAATTGTTGTGTTACTGGTCTGTTTCACATGACCTTCAATTCTTCATTTAATACAGTATTTACATTTTATTTTTTTTACTTTCGTTTTTTTCTTTTTCTTTCCGTTTTCTATTTTTTTTAATTGGAGATAATATACATAGGGCAAGAAAAATCAAAGACTTCTAACGATAGACGAAACAATTGCTAAAGGAAGAAAGACAAAAAGACAAACAACAGTCTGCATAACATCATACAGAAAGTTTTAGGATTGAGCAACACGTAAAATCCTTTTCAGAAAATCTAGATATGGTATTTGAAATTGAAATAAGCAGGTCAAAAACAATATAATTATGTCAAGAACAGTTAACTGATCGGTTAACAAACTGCAATAGGCTTATGTAATTATTTAGCTGAATATACATATAAACTAGCAAGGTTAAGGAATGATTAAGCGATAGCAAACGGGTTTAACCCCCTCACATTCTGTATGTAGCTGTTCCTAATCAGAAACCTGTAATTTATAATTGTCGTTTGATTCTGTCCATCATATTTGTTATTCGTTTATTGTTTTGAACATGAACCGCACCGTTCATTTTTTCTCGTTTGAATTGTTTCATATTTTGTAATGTCTGGGCTTTTCATAGCTTATTATACACGGTATTTGTTTTCCTCACTGTTGAAGGCCGAACGGTGACCTTTAAATGCTTAAAACTACGTCATTTGTTTTCTGGTGGATAGTTGTTTCATTCGAAGCGATACCAAATCTTCTTATTTTTTTTGTTTTCAAAGCCATATAAATTTAAATATATTTTCTAGTTAAATGAATATAGCAAACCCTTGTTGGATTACTGAAATTAGAAGTGGAATATTTGACAATTAACAATCTTGACGACAATACAGAAATCGGCGAAAAATGAGGTAGAAGATCAAAAACCTAAGTTCAAAGAAAAACTGACAATGCACAACAAAAACAAAAAAAAAAAAAAAAAAACAACGAAAATAATATAACAGTATACAAAATTGTCAGACAGAAAACTAAATATTGAGTAACATAAACCGGGAGAATCCAGGGGCTTTGACCGATACGGTGACTCTGTGATTCAAGAACAAGTGGCATGTTTCCACAGTCTTGTAGCTTTAGATACAAGAAAAATTTGTCTGATCTGAAAATTAACTGTTTGTGTCTTATTCCTAATTCGGCCATCTTTGATCGAGTATGAGTTTTCTTGTGGTCTTATGCATGACATCAAGTCTCCATGCTTTAGGAGTTTTTGTATTTTACCTTCATTTGTATTTCCTAATGAATTTATGAAGTCAGAACATCGATAAACCCTAAAGATATAGATGAAAAATCCTGAACACATTGCAAGAACTGCAGGCAGAGCAAGGTCAGATACGCGTTTCTTGCTATGAATGCATCGCCTACTAGTACCATGTTTACCAAACTCTGCTTAACTTTCTCAATAGAATAGGATAAATGACTTTTTATGGTATCTTAAAATATAAGACCACGTTAATATGTCTGTCATATCTTATCTGTCAATCGAAGCTCTTAACGTATAAAACAAGAATTATAAACCCCTAACGAATGGATATGGTGTGGTTCAGCTGAAAAATAGAAAGTTGGCGCTGTTCCTTTGCTTTTTGTGTTTTTTGCGTTGTAGGTACTGATTTTGTGTTATGAATGGATACCCCATATCCTTTCTTTTCTATTAATGTGAAAGTGGAATTCTCCATGTTTGTCATAGATCCTAGTTTGATGTTGTCATTATATGCGGGATTTTCGTGCTGTGTTGAAGACCCATTGGTGGCCTTGGCTCTTTGGTCGGATTGTTGTTTTTTTTTGACACATTCCCCGTTTCCATTTTCCATATTATTAATTTTATATTATATAAGATCCAGATATGAAACATAGAACGTATCAAAGTATCCAACATATTATTGAATTTGGTAAGATCAGCTTTATCATATAATTTACCGTTTATAGACATCCGAATTACCATTACCATCATATAAGACATCTGTCATGCAGTAATTGTAACCAGAAGGGCAGATATTTGTGGAACTATTTCCGTACACATCTTTACTATAACAAGGAATGCCATTACTTATATCTCCACACGTGTTACATGTTGAAGGTGTTGGCGTCGTAGCAGCTGAAGGTGTTGGCGTCGTAGCAGCTATCGATAATAAAAAAATTACAAAATAGACAGTAAGCATGAAAAACACCTTTTGATTATTTTGATTAAATTGTTTAAGTTGGTTCTTTAGATTTATTGCATTACGGTCACACATCTTAACTCGGAAGAGAACTTTTGATTTTGTATAAAACCATCAAATAGAATTGTTTTTACTTGTGAAAACTACGCACGCAAAAACTACAAAAAAGATATCTTCATTAGGCATATGCATCCCTAATCTCATTCTATTGAAGCAAAACACATACAGGAAAATATAATGTCTTGGTTTGAAAAAAAAAAAAAAACACCGCACAAATCTGTTGCGACCGAAGAGCTCGTCTGGAACTACTTTCATTAGAAACACCCTCGACAAAACAAATAAGAAAGCCAAGGATATAAAATAACTCGACACGTTTATAGCTACATCACCATATGACGATTTAAAACGCTGACGACCTTTGTGATAGTAAAATTGTAAAAACATATAATAATTGAATATACTATTTTATAATAAGAACCACACAATATATATCAAGGACAAAACAAGTAAAGTGTTATGCATGCAATTTAGTAAATTTCTCTTTAACCCCTTCACAGAAAGCATAACATCTAATAGGTATCTTTACCTCCTTTGTTAAAAAGTTTAAAAGACTGAACAATAATAAGTGTTATTTTATCTATTACAAATGTATGTAAGAAATAATATATATGTTAAGGTCGGCAATCACAATATATATTATTCAGTTTACTTACGATTCAGTGATGCTGTAAAAGATAAATATTAAACAAAAATTGAAATGAAAAGAAAATAATACACACGTCTCATGTAAAATCTGTTACACACATTCACTATCTCGTAAAATCGCATAGTAGCACTCTCATTTCAAAAATAGCTGTATTACGTACATTTAATTTGCAAGACTAATAACACAAGATAATATCTAAAAAAAAAGAAAAGTACGATACGACCACTGGTATACTCTTTTTTTAAATATTAAAAATGTATGAAATAACATTCTTCAGATGTTTACGCGATATGCGGCTGCCATACATTATTTTTATTTTTGAGTCTTGTCTCACAAGCTGGCTTTTGTGCTTCAAACTTCTTGCCTTTAATTAAAAACTCAAATAAAGACTGATTTTAAGATCTTGCCATTAATATTAAGAAATGCAGAAAACATAGTTGGCCACAATATTTCTAATACTAAATGGTATTTCGGTTAATTTGTAGACAACAGTAGTTTAAAATCTCATACATGGCTTCAGAAAATAAAAAGCAAAGTAACAAACAAAAGTGAAGTAATCACATTAACTTTAAAATGAGCGGTACTTGGCGAGTCAACAGAACAAGAGTGTCCTGCTATACAGGCATAATCTATCATACGAATTCACAGGCAGTCAAAACGTTATAATCATGAATAGGACACAATCGCAAAATTAAAGATCATACGACTGTTAGGGTATCTAAAGATATTACACAGCAAAAACATGTCACAAGTGAATTGAGACATAGACAAATCGTTTCGGTCAACCTGTTCGTGGCGGTGACTTTAAACTGATGTACGTAGTGTCGATTTCTATAGGTCTTGCTCATAACACTGATTTAGTAGCCTTTGTATAAGACGCATTGTATTTTTGAGTAATGGTTAGACCTATATATAGTTTTGCCTATAGCTATGTACAATATGCCAGTTTTGGTCAAATATGTAAAGTTTAACATGTTTATGGTGTCATATTGACATCAAAACTAACATTTATGTTCTAACATTTCTAGATTATATTTCTCTTCAAATTAAGCTGTATACAAATGTATATCATGTATGTCGTTAAGGATGGAACAATTTTACTCTTTTGGATTTATAGAGCCAGCTCGACAATAGATCTTTTCATACCGTCTCGTTTACAGTTACTGTTTGCAAGTAAAGATAGTTTGAATTCAATTAAGATTTATACTAATACAAACTTACCTAGATACTCTGCACACTTGTTGCATGACTTCGGGCATGTAGAAATAACAAAATTCTGAGACACAGAAGATGAACATATGTTAATTTGAAATTGAGAACATCTTGGATCATGGTCGATACAAGTAGGCTGTGTAGGTAAAGAAGCTGTAATTTACATTTTAAATAAATCAACACCAGTACTTCAGTATCAGATACTTTTCGTTCTATTACTACACATTAATATCGAAAATCTTTATAAAAAAAAACATGACATATAAATGTTTTCTTAATAGTCATATGTGTTTATTTTAATGTCACATTTAGGCTACGATAGTTTACCAATGTGTAGTAATATTTTCCAAAGTGATTATACGTGTCTCTGTCATAACTGGCTAAAAGTGTTAGATATATCTTAAAATTCTAAATGTACATCTTCATAGGTTGTTACTGTATAAGTAATTTTTCATTTCTGTATACGTAGTTTATACCTTAAATATACAGGTGATAAGATTGTATTCAAATGCTGTATTAACCATTTACAAAGAACACGATTGATTATTTATGATTTTGGTGTTAATAAATGATGATATCTTAAAATAAAAAAAAATTTTCGTATTAAATGTTTGATACTATTATATAACACCATGTCAATGAATTGTCCGCATAAGGAAGCATTTTATCATTAGGAAATTTTACACAGTCATAAGTAATGTGATGACACGATTGCGTTAAAGGAATAGTGCACGTGCAGTGGGTATGGTGCAGGCTGGTGTGCAAACGTACAGCAGGTAACGTTTCCATGTTAACAAGAAGTAGACAAGTAATACCATCGACCGGCCGCAATGTTGTGGAAAACATAAGACATCAAAGCCTCAAGACATACTCATCTGATTAATTTATCTCCGAAATCGCCGTGTACATGCGTAAATTGTCATCTGCATGACATATCGTCTTAACAAAAACCGAATATCCGGTTATACCATCATACGCGGTGTTTAAATTCCGCAAGTTGATATTGAGTAATAGTATTGAAACTTTCATCTGTTTTTGGGGTATATTATTGGATTTTATGCATTCCGGCAGTATGAAATACACTTTATTGCTATTTGTCCGCCATTACTGGACATCACAAAGGTTCTCGTAAAATTTTGAGGTCATAATAGAAAATATCTGACGCCACAATGGAGAAGCGATTGTTGTATGACTTCAATATTTCAAGCAGGGCAGATTTTCGGGTCAACCGGCGCAAATTCCAAATAGCGATAAGGTGTATGTTGTTGTTGACCATTTTTTGTTATATTTGACTTTTTTTTGTGACGACTTTGCCATATTGAAAATGATATTAATTGAAAAAATTGCGTATCGTTTTATTTGTTGATCCGTATATATAACGAAATATTTGATTAAAATGTTATAAAATTATTTTTACTTTATCTTGTTAATATTTAAGATACGATATATGAACGTGAAAAAAATTTTGTAATTATTTTTTTAGTGCCTACAGTCCATGTTTTGTCCATAATTGTTGTCATTATATTTTTATTTTAAGTATAAAATAAACAGTATGCTAATATCTAATAATAATGATAATTATAATTAACCCATCTGAACGTATATTATTTTCTAATAATAAAACCACCATGGCGTTTATTTATTTATGTACAGTGGCTTACCTAGTTGAGGTCCTGAAGTGCCATTCCCTGTAAAAATTGCATTATTATTTACTGTCATACATGAACATGTAGAAGACATGTTACCATGAATGGTAACAATAGATTGATTATCAACTTCACACATAATACATAATGGTCTTTTCTTGTCATCTTAATTAAGTGTTATAGCGTTCTTTTTATTTGTCTTTGTATATTATTATACCTTACATGTATTTCAAACAATTCTATTGGGTAAAACGTTATCACGTGACATGGAATAATTCAGTTAATTTTCATTCAATTGCAAGGAAGAACGAATAACCATAAAAATTTACACCAGCGTTGAATAACCCTATTATTCACCGGCGAATAACCTTTTTAGTTTGTTTATTTGTACTCATGAAAATGACGTCACAGACGTAAATAAACAAAATGGCAACGTTAAAGTTACAGGAAGCCCATTGATCGAGAGAAGAGGAAATATGACTTTTGACGTGCATCTTGTGCCGATGATATCTCTAATAACGGTCCTTTTCAGGGCCATCAATATTTTACAAAAAGAATCTACCTTTATTGTACATACGAGAATCCTAAGACACAAATTACACGTATTTTTGAACGTCAACTTGTGTTTGTTACTGACTCAAGTAAGGGTAAGTGCTTTTACAATGATTCAAAATGCCCTTCCACTGTTAGTTCGGTATAATAAAACAATTATGGCCCCTTAGAAGCGATGAATATCCAAAAATTGTCAACCCTTAAAAGTTATTTCACTTCGGGCTGCGCCCTCAGTGAAATAACCTTCTCGTGTTGAAAATTTTGGATATTCACCTTTTCAACGGGCCATAATTGTATATTGTTAACCTTACTGTTTGGTCCATTTTTGGTAACATCCTTTTGACGTGACTCAGTATTCATACTTCCCGCCAACGCGTTATTGTGTTATGGTCATTTTTTTGTAGTTTTGTCTTTCGTTTTTGCTTATGTTCTTTGTCTATAGTGTATATACGCTATTTTGTTTTTCTTTGTTGACATAGTTGGTTTTTTTTAGTGATTAAGACTATAACACAATGTTGACTGCTGTACCAAACTTTTTGGCATTTTTACTTATAATGTCTATTTGTTTTATTTACACATTGTTGTCAATATAATGGAATTTTATGCAACTGTCACAAACAAGTGTGAGGTTTAGCTAGCTATAAAACCAGGTTTGGTTCATCATTTTCATAAGGAAATGCCTGTACTAAGTCAGGAATATGACAGTTGTTTTCAATTCGTATGATGTGTTTCAGCTTTTAATTTTGCCATTTGATAACGGATTTTCCGTTTTGAATTTTCCTTGGAGTTCTGCATTTTTGATATTTTACTTTTTATAGGCTTATAAACAAAATCATTCAACAAAATAAAATATATAACAAAGAGGCTGAACGCAAAGCAAATAAATATATTTAGCAACAGAAACCACATGTGTATATGTATCGCAGTTGACGACTAAATTTAATGGAATTCCAACAAAACACTTATTAATATATATTTTAAACAATTTTTGTATGTATTTAGATGACATGTATTTGTAAATCCAGATTATTCTAAATATTTAAAGTAATGTATGCACATATATAATAGTTAATTGACTATTGTCCATTTGTAGACTTTTATCATACAATTTATAAATGTGGAGCACGATCTGCTTCATCTTGCTGATCACCTCATTTCTCCCTCAGTTTTTGATGGGGTTGGTGTTGCTCAGTCTAAGGCTTCTAAGTTTAGTTTTGTTTGTCTTTTATCGTTTTTCGTTTTTTTTCTATGGCATTGTCAGTTTGGTTTTGACTAATGAGTTTGATTATCCCTTTGGTATCTTTCGTCTCTCTTCTATCAATGATCTTCATATCAAAATGCATGTAATTTGCCATGCAAAAAGTAGATTAATTAATACATAAATTTTTTTTTAAACTAAGTAGCAAATTCTTGAAAGTACGTGCATTTGTATTTATATGGAATCTGCGTAATACAGACACAGGTTTTTTTCTAAAGTTAAGCAGCGACAAATATACTACCCGCAATTAAATACAAATTATGAAAATTTTTGACAGTGAATACATTTTTAAAACAATATTGTTAGTTTACAAAATAGAAACACCCATTGGTTTTCTGTTTTCTGGTCAACTGGTTCTTTGAACTAGCGGCACCAATCGCTTTACTTAAGAAAAAAAAATCAAGACACACTGCCTGTCAATTCTTAAACTGTGATAAGTATACATCAGTGATAATTCATAATAGTTTGAATTTAACAAGAAGCTATTTGCTATTTGTAATGACAAAATTTGTAAGACAAGACACAAAAATACACAAAAATAATTTAAAAGTTGTCCTTTTTTAATCAATTCAGGACTTACCGAAATATATGTCAATGAATTTGGGTTGCTAAACGTTCCAGAGCGATTGAGTTAACCACCTGTTATTTGTAGGTTCCAAATGTTAATGTTTGGTTTAGTAAGCATAATGTTATGTGAACTTAAGCTTTTGTTTATCCTTTCGTCTTTCTCCTTTGCTCATAGTGATTCTTTTGACTAATAATTTTTTTATTTCCCCTTTGAATCGTCTGCCCATTTTTGACATAGCGTAATACAACTGAAGCTATTCATGTTTTGTATAGGCCCGTTAGACTGTACCCAGTAAACATGTACAACATTTCTGATAACAATATAAAATCGCCATTCTTAAAATCGACGAAAGACAGAAAAAAGTAAAATAATAAAAATATCGAACTCTAAGGAAAATTCAAAACGGAAAGTCCCTTATCAAATGGCAAAATTAAAAGCTCAAATACATCAAACGAATGGAAAACAACTGTCATATTCCTGACTTGGTACAGGCATTTCCTTATGTAGAAATACATTGGTAAAAAAATTAATAAATTACAGTCAACAACATATTTCACGGAAATGTAAAACACATGATCAAATTTATAGATGTTGAATTACCTGAACATATTCCGCAGAATGCCTGACATCTTTTGTGAGCAATTCTATACAAGGTTCCAGTAGTAGCTTTACATAAATCGTACATCATTTCATATAAAGCACAAGAAAAATTGGAATCCTCATCATTAGTGCATGCATTATTTGTTGCTAAAATTTAAAGAGTAGTTGGAAATTAATGGAATATAGGTCCAATGCTTATGCAAAACTGTCAAAACAACCTGTAAGTTAAACAAACAGCCCAATGACGGTTTTTAATATCCAAAAGTAACTACGGTGTAGACAACAGCTGTTCACCATCGGAATTGTCGCTAATAAAAGTGTTCTTAAACGTAGGATTATAAATTCTGCTATCAAATCCATGTAATTTAAATATGTAAAGTAATATTCAATAAGAAATTTGACTTGCCAAAGTCGTGTAAAACGTTTAGAATGCATTGTGTCAATATATGGCGAAAATAAAACCCTAAAAAGTGTAACTTTACTTTAAGGTATTGTTGAAGTCCTTTTGCGCAATGATCGGTTTTTCATAGTTTGAGAGACATATGTGATTGTGATATTGAGTTTTTAACATCTGTAGAAACACATCAAAGATACCAGGATTATAGTTTAGTACACCAGAATTGCGTTTCCTCTATATAAATCTCATAAGTGGAACTCGAATCACCAAAACTGGAAGGCTGAATCAAATACTTAGTTCAAAAGCATTATAAACCGAAAATGCAGAGAAATACTACTACGATTATGTATGCCTAGGATACATAAAACATTTTATCAATGACATTTCAAAATAAAATTACTAAAAAGAGGCCACTAGGCTGGGATTACCCTCGGCGACAAAACTTAAACCAGCATTGGTATCAAACCAGTGGTTGTGAAACTCATTATAGATACCAGTCTTATACTTTGGAACGACATTTTGTGTTCTTAAGAAATATGTATGCTAGCTGCCTATCCCTTTTTTGACACTAGTGTCATATGCGTAATCATTGCAGCATTGCAGATTTTTTTTTTCTGTTGCGGCAAAGAGTCACGGTCTGTTTCACGCAAACCGTTTATATAACTGTTTATAATGGACTTTCACCTAACTACGACATACATGTACTTGGTTCAAATAATTGGTAGAACACAATTACAATGAGAAAAAAACACCAAATCTTAGATTTTGGTATTTTGTGTATTAGTGTAGTATGGAAAGAAAAATATGCCATCAGGAGACAACTCAACATTTTTATTAAAATTTACAAATACAACTTGGGTATCCTGACTTTTTTTCGGAATAATTATTATTTTTGTTATTAAAAAAGGGGTTTAAACATAATTTTCACGAGAATGGCTTGCCATCTTTATGACCATGACTGGTTTGAAAAATATTAAAAATGAAAGAAAAAACTTTTTTAAGTTCATGCATCCGAATTGCTATTTAGGATTTACCTTAATCAGGAATGCACAAAGCTTAATATTTGAAAGCCAAAAATGTATAAGAACAGAAACAGATAAAGAGCTATATGACCAAAAAAGACCTAAAATAATATTACAATCAATCTAAGGTCAAATTTGCCTGAGGGAGTTCAAACCTTAGTTTCGTAATAATTTTTAAATTTATAAAGAGACAATTTAAGAAATTGAAACGTCTTATTTGTGTTTTTATCCTATGAATACAATGAGTTGTCAGTAAACACCAATTGGACAGACAGAAACCCAACCAAGGAAAACCAGAAAAGAGACCTTTTTCATTTGCATTAAACTGTTCTATAGCAAACTACAGTAAATCAATCTTTTCTTATTTTAAGGAATATATTACAAGTTGTTCTACTATCCGGTCGATTTTTTATAGATAAAACATATTTCAAAGTTTTTCTTGTCGTATATCATACCGAGAAGCATCAGAATTGATCAAATGAAAGACCGACCGTTAATCGTTTAACAACAAATAATAATGTACATACATGTCGAAACAACTGTTACTACAGCGGTCGTTGGAATAGACGTAGTTGATGGTTTAATTGTTGTTGGTTGGACGGTTGTTGGTTGCATAGTTGTTGGTTGAATAGTTGTTGCTTGCACAGTCGTTTGTTGGACGGTTGTTGGTTGCACAGTTGTTGGTTGAACAGTTGTTGGTTGCACAGTCGTTTGTTGGATTGTCGTTGATTCAGCAACTGTCGGTCCAACAGTCGTCGGTTTAGAAGTTATTGACATAGTTGTTTGTGCTTAAATAGTTTATAATCTACGATGAAGGATTTTATTAACAAATTATGGACATATCTTTCAGTTATTTTATTTATTTGGCTTTCGTGTAAACTAATGTACAACTGTGACTTTGAGATAAAGAACAGCTGTTCCTTTGCTTTTTGTGTGATTTTTGCTGTGCAAGTACTGATTTTGTTATTCTATTTTCAAACTTTATTTGGCCTTCATGTAAATTATTGTACAATGTAATATGGATATATGCATGAATGTATCAATCATAAAGGCACATATTGAAATAGAGATGCTTCCGATTAATGTTTGTCGTCGCCTGGTTCAAGGACAAATGGGCGTTTTTTCGACTTTTCTATGCCATCTTTGATTTGTTTCCGTTTATTAAATATTAGGACGAAACCTATATAAAAGGATTGGTATCTACATATTGTGTAATACTTTATGTTTTTCCCTAGCAGCTACAATTAATTTTTTTTCTCCACTTTCGGCTTCATGCGTATTTGATTTTTTTTGTTAGATCATTTCTGTTGACTGACTGCTAAATTGTATATGTTATACTGTAGATACTAGTAGCTGTTAATGAATCGACTTATTTTGTTTACATCAAATAGATTACGTTAACATATAATGCTACTGTGGATTCACATTGTTGTCAATATAATGGAATTATATGCGACTGTCATACAATTGAATGGTTTAGATACCTATTAAACCAGGTTTAATCCACCGTTTCCTACACAAAGAAATGTCTGTACCAAGCCAGGAAAATGACAGTTGTTTTCCATTCGATTGATGTGTTTCAGCTTTTGATTTTGCTATTTGAAAAAGGACTTTCCGTTTTGAATTTTCCTTGGAGTTCGGTATTTTATTATTTTACATTTTTCAATTCATTTTCGTAGGTACTTGTTTTCAGGGATTCGAATTATAATCGTAAGTTATTGGAAACATGATTTCGTTGTTTTTGAAAATTCTGTATACAAGTCTATAGGAAATTCGTATTTCGTAGAACAGTGGAATTCGTGAATCATGTATTCTAATTTAATTCAAATTTTATATTCTATTTTTACAAATTTACCCTTTTTGTGGCATTGATACATTCGTGTGACGCACAGTTCATTATTCTATTGTCCTGTATTTGTGTTTTGTCTTAAATTAATGTTAAGTGTTCGTTGTTATCCTGTGGTTTACATGTTGAAATGTACTATTATATTATTTATTTATTATTAATGAATTTCTATGTCCTGAATGTTCTTGCATTTATTTTTACTGTATTTCTGTCACGTAATATGTCATTTTAGCGGTATTTGAAACATTGCCATATAAGCGGGAGGTTTGGCTAGCCATAAAACCAGGTTAAACCCAGTATGTTTTCTTAAAATGTCCTGTACCAAGTCAGGAACATGGCAGTTGTTATCACATAGTCCGTTTCTATGTATGTTGGCGTTTGTTTTTGTAGCAGTTCAGTGTTTCTATTGTTACGTTTTGTTTCCTCTTATAGTTGATGTGTTTCCCTTAGTTTTGGTTTGTGACCCGGATTTGTTTCAGTTTAATCGATTTATGACTATTGAACAGCGGAATACTACTATTGCCTTTATCTAAACCAGTAAGTACTCCACGAACAATAATGAATCCACATAAATGTATGCCGTTTCATGACAGTTACATGTAATCCACTTCATATGAGATTGTTTCAACAAGACGTGCTCATCATTGACAACCTTTTGACGCAATATTCTTTTTTCTGTTGACTTTCATCATTGTAAAACTTAAGATGCGATTAATTTGTTTCTTTTGATTTTTATCAATGTTTTTAAAAAATGTGAGTCTTCCTATGAAAACATGTGTCGGTTGTCTTTTACAAATATTGGTAAGTGTCTTGTTGTCTTGTGTCGATGTCAGGCAACACGACTGAAAGCTATAATTTTCTTGAACAATTTTACTTTCAAATTAAAATTTTCGCATTTAACAAAAATTCAGAGAAAAACAAGCTCATAGCTAAATATATATATATGTTCAATATGATAAGTTTTAAACTTAGATGACGTTTTTGCTTATCAATTTAATTTAAAAATTCCTGAAATTTGATTTAAATGACAAGGCGGGTCATTTTTTCTATTTCTATAGTTAAATTAATCATTTTTAGAAGTTAAGTTCTTTAATAAAATTTTAATTATATTATCATATGTTGCTTTACGATGCAAATAGATCAAATACTTAGTTAGCCACGACCTTTGCCATGAGAATGAACACACAAATACTAATAAAACCTTAACATAAATCTGATTAAAATACAGGCGAAAGATACCAAAGGGACATTCAAAGTCAAAAGTCAAAATAAACTGACAATGCTAAAGATATGAAATTGTGTAGATTTACCCTGTTTATGATTGTAGCAAATAAAAGTTGCTTCATTTTATCATTCTTTGTTCATGTTGTTAAATATACTGTTTCAAATTTCATTTTCTTATTGCAGCTAATATTCCTTCAAAATTGAATTCGTATGCTACAATTTACAATTTTGCAGTAAAATCAAAACCGTTAGTTTTTCTACGCTTTACACTGCTGATTTCCTTGCTCAATTGAAAGATCGACAACATCGTCTTTTTAAACGGAGCTTCATCTAAATAAATTGGAAATGTAGATACAAATTCCTCCTTTTAGCTCATGAGATATCTAACTTTGCGAAGAACTACCCTTATTTAAAAACAAACACACCAATGATAATATCATCAAAATGTTAGAATTTTTTATCGACAACATACTTGTTGAGTTTGGTGGATTTAAACAGACAGTCGGTATTCCAATGGGTAAAAATTGTGCACCACTACTTGCCGACTTGTGTTGATTATAGGCATAAATGCAAAAAAATGTTAAAATTTTTTGTTTAAGGTGTAATTCCACCATTGATTTCCCCCTATTAGTCTTTGTTAAATTTGCACTTTTCAAAAAATTGTGCAGAATTTATCTTTGTTTCAAATAAAGAAATACTTGGCATGAGTAAAGATTTATCCTGTCCAGTACTATAGAAAAAATTTCACATAACATTTCATTGCATATAAGAAAATAACCATCACTGGAAGTTAACCAATCAAATTTTCCCCCTTTTTTAACCTGTGTACAAGCTTTAGTAACCATGTAACCTCAAGTTTCGAAAATATTCTATAGAAACCCCAAATAAAGAAATAATGGTGCTTTGAAATACCCAAGATATATGTTTATGACTCAGAAATGTTTTACTGCAATGAAATGTAGGATCAATTACCTACAACTGTCAAATTCAAGGGAATATTTTTTTTCGACCTATTTTCGTATGCAACCGGATGTGACGTACTATAATTTGGTGGTATTACACCTAAAGGGCAATAACTCCTATAAGAAGTCGTCTGACAATTTTGATGTAAATCAATTTGAACATTTCTGCCCCTGTCAGATTTTTCTATTCATAGCTTCAAGATTATTGACAAAACTGGCATTTTACCCCTCAGTTCTATTTTTAGCCCTGTCTGCAATGTTGGTTGGCAGGCGGGGTCAACATTTTTATTAAAATTTTGATACCTTAATGATTGTTTTTTGGCAAGTTTTGATAAGTTTGGTCTAGTTGTTTCAGAGGAAAAGATTTATGTGAAATTATAAACGACGACGACGGACGACGGACGCCAAGCGACGAGAAAAGCTCATTTTGCCTTTCGTTTTTTTTTAGCTTAACAGTATTTTGCAAAGTCCTTTAATTTCACTTCCAGATATATTGATGATATTTTGTCACTCAATAACCAACATTTGAATGAGTACGCACATGTCGTATTACCAAGTAAACTTGCGATTAAGGATACTACTGATAGTAGAAGGTTTAATTTAAATCTAGATTTTTCGTCGATATTAGCATAGATGGACGACCTCAAACTACAATCTATGACAAACATGATGATTTTAACTTTGCAATTGTCAAAAGCTAATCCATTTCTCATCAGTAAAATACTATCTGTTCCATCCTTTGGTGTTTGCATATCTCAATTAATACATGTACGTAACATCCGTGCATTTGTACATTAAATGGACTTTATCTACAGGGATGTGCTCCTTACACATAAACTGCTCCAGCAAAGTTCGAGGAAGAACGACTGAAATCGACACTACATAAGTTTTACGGTAACCTTCACGAATTAGTTTACCGATACGATGTGTCATTGTCTCAACTCACTGATTAAGCGGTCCTAGAATATTTAGTTACCAGTAAAGTCGTCTGATATGTAATTTAACCGATTGTGTGCGTCATAATCTAGTTTGTGACACTTTGATTGAGTATGAATTCGAATGGCGGGAGATGCATGCACAGCTGAAGACGTATATCATGTCTTGATTCTTTTGGACGGTTCATGCGATTTCCTCGGTTTTGTTTGTTGCATTGCCTTGATTTATTTCTTCCTAATCGATTTACGAGATTCGAACTCAAACTCTATTAGACTGTCGCCTTGATTTAAAATCATTCACTATCAGGTTTGTTTCCCCCCGTAGCATACTGTGTTATGATTACAACTTCTTTTCAAGTCGAATGCAATAAGCTGCAATAGTCGAAGCATAACCGTAAACCATTTAAGATAGTGTTCCTGTTCTTTGAGATTTATGTAATGTGTTTAATCACACATCCCTGATCAGTTTGTATGAAGTAGATTATAATCTATATACAAATGTAGTTACCATTGTATTGCCCGAAAACGCATTCTTGTGTAGTACAATAGCACTTTTGACCAATGTTGGGCAGCCGTGTACATTCCGCCATCTGAAACAATCGTAACTGTTATTTGTGTAAGCCCTATGCTTTGAATATTATGTATGAACAATTGATGTCCTTAGCTTTAAATTTTTTCATAATATCTGACAATATATTTAAAGCTGGACTATATATTCAGTTTCTTATTCATTTGTATGTGCATAACAAATAAATATCTCTCTTGCTAATATACAAAATAAAAGTAGAAATGTAACACAAGTCCATCCAG